AAGTAACAGATCGTTTCTGCACATGTTTTTCATTTTCGTTGGCCATCTTTCTTTTTTATAGGTGACAAGTATTGTGGGGGTGCTGATGGTTGTGAGAACTGGCCAAGGTCCTACCTTATAGCGTGTAGTACTTGTCTTGTTATAGGATGCGTGTTTTTTTGTTGTTCAATACTCTATGATAGCCTTTGTAAAAAGCTTGTGTGTTTTGATGATCCTGTAATTAACACCAGATCCACTAGACAACTATTAGGAACATCACCTGAAGCTTTTGACATATCCATTTATCGAGCGGCAAACCGACAGAATATGGAGAATCCTAACTTAAGACGTCCAGAAACACGAAGTTTGACCAGAGGCCCACCCCTGGGAAATTCAATAGGTTTAATAGAACAGCAGCGATTTACAAACGATGATAATGGTTTGAGAAGAACAACCACGACTTCCAGTTCGCCACCAGCATACGATGACATAGTGCAACAAACTTCAACCACAACTGCAATGGAGCAACAACCTTCACTATCACCACCCTACGATGTATTTATGTTGGGAAATAGAGGAAACTAATTTACAGTAGGGTGCAAAATTATAGCCTCACAGTCCATACTTCTGGATTCTTTCCCTTCGCCGGTCATGAACAGTGGTACTTTCGAGGAGCACTTGCGTGGACTTTGTAGAGCACATCGTCCTCTCTCGGTACCTGTATTTTATCCTTGTCACTTGCCTAGAGACAGCGAGAAAAAAAAAACACTTGCGCAAAAATCACTAATTTTCATCTGTTCGAAAATATAGTCTCAGGTGACATCCACCGAAGCAAAGTACTAAAAAGTCTCTCAATACTTACTCATTGTTCTTCCTTTAACTAGTCAACATTGTTTGAGTCGTCGAGTCGTCGAGGCATCGAGTCAATCAGGTTCTACCAGGTGTTTACATCAAAATCCTCCTCCACAGTGTCTGAATAATCGTCTACAACTTTACCAAGGTCGTTGGATCCAGTTTTTAGTCTTTCATCGATCATATCCCATAGATTTTCGATTAGGTTGAGAAGTGGTAACGAAGCAGGCCACGCTAACACCGAAATAATGTTTCTTTCAAACCATTTCATCGTGAATTTCGACTTGTGAGGAGGAGCATTGTCTTACATGTATACCATTTGTCGCCTTCCTCGTTCAATCGTGGTAGGACATCATCAATGATTTCGATATACGTCGTAGCATTCACCCAACTTTCATAGAAGACCAACGGGTCGCTTTTCGCACTTGTCATGCATCCCCAGACGCTCACACAGCCACCTCCTTTTTGCATCCGAGGTACGACATTGAACGGTTTATCGATTTCAGCCGCAGTTCGCCGTACAAATGTCCAGTTTTCTCGGTTAAATGATTCAAAATGAGCCTCGCCACTCCAAATGGCGCTTTCCCAATCGTTAGGTAACCAGTCGATATGATCATTCGCAAATTCTAATCACCTTCCCTTGTGTGACGTAGTGTAACTGTAGTACCCAGCCTCTAACAGCCGACGACGAACCGTGGATGCTGCCAAAGTCATGCCATTTGATAAAATCCACTCAGCTGAAAGTTCTCGGCTACTTTTCGTGCGGTCCTTCTTGCACATTTGTAATAATCGTCGGTCGTCGCGCTCAGTTGACGTCCGTTTTCGACCTTGTCCTGGAGCATTGCCCAACGGCTGATCTCTTTGGATCTTCTTGGAGACATTTTTCACACAGCCTTGCGAGACGCCGACTTTCCGCGCCACTATTCGTTGACTTTGGTCGTCTTTTAGCAAAGTTTCAATCTGAATTTGTTGCTTTAGAGACACATGACCTCGTCCCATGGTGGAGGACCGATTGAACGATGAAAAACAGGAATGGGTGATTGTTGAAAGCGGAAGAGTTATTCTCAAAAGTAGCGATAGGAAGCGTGAACATGCTGCTGAAATTCCCGCCAAATCTAATTGATCAAACACGCAACCAATCGAA